CAACCATGACCTGGAGAATGGGGAGTCTCCGTGGAAGTTGAGCAAGGAAACAGGCTTGGACATACGAGGCACGTGGAGATGCACATATGAGGGAGCTTGGTGGTTGGGCGAATTCCAATGACAAGCAGTCCTCAATTTACGACCACAAATGATCCCAAAATGTCTGTGGCTAAGCCACACGTTTGTTAAGTTAATTTTGCCCCCCTTGACAACCTTCTTTGCCACAACTGTTTTAAGTGAATCATTGCCATTATTAAGTTCGTACGATGGTTGTTAAGCAAATCTGGCTTCCCCCGTTGATTTCGCTTATCGGAAGGTCACAAAAGGGGATCAAGTGACACCCCCCCCCAGGACACTGAAACCGTCTAACAGTGAGGACAGTTAACCAGTGGAACAGCTTTGCCACCAGAAATCATGGGCGCTCCATCACTGGAAGTTTTCAAGAAGAGACTAGACAGTCACTTGTCTGAGGTGGTGTAGGTTCTCCTGCTTGAGCAAGGGGCTGGACTAGAAGATCTTCAAAGTCCCTTCCAGCTCTATTCTATTCTATTCTATTCTATTCTATTCTATTCTATTCTATTCTATTCTAGTCTAGTCTAGTCTAGTCTAGTCTTCTAGTCTAGTCTAGTCTAGTTTATTCTTCTTAGTCTTCTCTTCTCTTCTAGTCTAGTCTAGTCTAATCTAGTCTAGTCTTCTTAATCTTCTCTTCTAGTCTAGTCTAGTTTATTCTTCTTAGTCTTCTCTTCTAGTCTAGTCTAGTCTAGTCTTCTTAGTCTTCTCTTCTAGTCTAGTCTAGTCTAGTTTATTCTTCTTAGTCGTCTCTTCTATTCTAGTCTAGTCTAGTTTATTCTTAGTCTTCTCTTCTCTTCTAGTCCAGTCTAGTCTAGTCTAGTTTATTCTTCTTAGTCTTCTCTTCTCTTCTATTTTATTCTTCTTAGTCTTCTCTTCTCTTCTCTTCTCGTCTGGTCTAGTCTAGTCTAGTCTAGTCTAGTCTAGTCTAGTCTAGTTTATTCTTCATTCTATTCCTATTCCTATTCTGTTCTGTCCTGTCCTATCCTATCCTATCCTATCCTAAATACGGAACAGTTTCCAAGCATCTGAATTTTGATCATGTGACCCTGAGGATGCTGCAATGGTTGTGTGAAAAACGGTCATAAGTCACCTTTTTCAGCCCCGTTGTAACTTTGAATGGTCACTAAATGAACTGTGTAAGTCGAGGACTACCTGGACATTTCTAGCCCAAAACAAACAAAATCCTCTTGGTTGCCTGACAAATGTCACATACCGGGGGGGGGGAGGGGGGATATAGAAGAAATTGATAATTCTTGTACCTAACGTTCCACCTTCAGCGACTGATTGATGATGATTAATTGCCATCAAATCTGTGTTGAGTTTTCGCAGCTACATAGATAACGTCTCTCCAAGGTGTTTCTCTTGCCAGATGCTTGCAGGCAATTCGGTGGCGCGTTCAACAATGTACCACTTTCATTATTTTTGTGCAAAATATCAAGTCTCTTTTTAGGTGGAGTGACTTTATGGACATGGCCTCGAATTTTCTGGGCAACAAAGCGGAGATACTTACGGCTGTCTTTTTCTGGAACTTTCTTCTATTCCAACCCAGAGTCCTGGGGCTTTGCTCCTAATCTTCCATTCAAGTACTAACTAGATCTGGTTCTGCTCAGCATTTTGAAATCAGCCAAGATTGGTGGGGTGCTGTTATAATACCAGGGTGTTTTTTTCCCCTGTGAAACAAGGCTAGACAACTGGAAAAAAGTTAACCTCTAGATTTGGGAGAATACAATTTATAGAATCCCTTGTCACTGACCACTGTTATCTAGAGTTTATAGGAAGTTATACTTGGAGCTTATCAAAGAGAGCTCCTAGAAATAAGGAGAAATTTCCTGACAGTGAGAACAATTAATCAGTGGAAGAGCTTGCTTTAAAAGTTGCGGGTGCTCCAACACTGGAAGTTTTTAAAAAGAGACTGGACTGCCATTTGTCCAAAATGGTATAGGGTCTCTTGCTTGAGCAGGGGGTTGGACTAGAAGACCTCCAAAGTCCCTTCTAACTCTGTTTTTCTGTGATTCTGTAAGACCTTCAGATGAGATGATCTTGCTATCCTTACCCAATATGATTGGGGTCTATTTCCATCTTCATCACCATCTTGGATGTCCTGGGTATCTGAGGGACTATCTTGTTCTTCTTTGATGTCTGCCATCTTTTTCGACCTGATAGAGTTGATATTTTTCTGGTCCTATGAATTGAAGGGTCATCTGATGGGACCCAGGAGATGGACCTTCTCAGTTATAGAATTTGGAAAAACATCCTCTAAAGGTCAACATGGATCTTGACAAAAGATCACTTTTCCCCTGGTCTTGAGCTGGGATGGATTTTGCATGTTGGTCAAAATAGTGGTTTGCAAACTTGGCCAGTTTAAGATGTGTGCACTTCAACTTCCAGAATTCCCTAGCCATCATGCAGCAAAACACTGGACTAGATG